GTAACTAGAAGGTAAATATAAAAGTGGGTAAGAGGCAGCTGTAATGTTCTATCCTCACTTCACAGCTTGATTTTTAAAAACAAAAGAGATCTCCTTTTTAAAGTATTAAACTGTAAGTATTCAAGTGTGTCTGCAATACTGTTTAAACTGTGTGGCACAGAATTCTCTGAGATACAGCAGAGCTCTCAATCCCAGACCCATCCCATAAATCTGCAATGCCAAAACAGTTCAAAAGAAGGCTTAAATCTAACTGAAAGGAAGATGCACAATAAAGTCTGAAGATAGTAAGGCTTTGCCAGTTACCTGGCTCTGAAGCACTATGGGCTTTGCCTTGCCGAGAATATAAATTGGTCTGGGCAGCGAAAACTTTGAATCCAGCAATTCAAACTCACGGAGCTTTGGGAGCAAAATCTCCAGACTGGGCTGGCTGGGGATGAGAAGCGATTTACGTGTATCCCAAAGTTTTAAATCTTAGCCAAACTAATGATTCTGTGAGGCTTTAAACTGTGTCATCTTCTAGCTTGATATGACTGTGTGTTAATGGAGAGAACATCCCACGTGTCCTTTTATCCTGACCTTTTTTTTTTTTACCAGGGAGAATTCAGTTGCTTTTCAGAAGAGCTCTCTTTACCGATCTGCTTTAACCAAAAGCACTAACAGTCTTGAAAAGTAAATAGGAGGTGATACAGAGCAGGTCTAGGCTGAGCCAAGGGTACTTGTCTGAATTTATTGGCTCAGTGTTGCAGAAGTGCAAGCCACCTACACACACCAGTGGTTTGGAGCAGTCTCCTCACCAGCAGCATCATCGGTTCTTCCACAGCTCCCTGACCTCTCCTCCCCTACCTTTTGTCTCCAATTCCATAGGTCTAAGCGCTATCACCAAAGAGAAAATCTAAAAGAGCCAGCATCAAGATTTGCAAGGAAACAGGTAGCTTTTAAACTGGTGTTTCCCATTAAAAAGTTCACGTAGAGGCCAGAGGAAAGAAGCCATCCAATGTAGTAGCAAAGGCAACAGCCACGCACAGCCCTGTCACCCCACAGCCCTGAGACACAGGGCTTCCCACAGCCCTGAGACGACTGGCTGCACAATCTCTGCACATTCTTCCTCTCCTGCTCCTACTTCCATGCACATTTTCCTATATAAACACCAGATTTTGAAAAATACCAGGAATGGTTTGAAGAGTTTTCTGGTTTTACGTTTCTTTACTGCAGTCTTTAGTTCTGCTAGAAATCTGCAACCCTTCATTATTTATTTTATCCTCCTTTCATCCCGCTAAACACGCTGCTGGGCTGCATAGTTTTACTCTTCCCTAGTGACTCCTAACTCAGTGCTTCCAGTGGTCAAGTATCAGTCTCCACACTTCTTCCACTGCTTCACAAAAACAGCCTTACTGGGTTCTTCTCCCTCGTGTCTCCTGCCTGCTCACGAAGGCTGCTGGTGACCACAGAAGCAGAGGGGCAATAACAGAATCATAGAATCTTCTAGGTTGGAAGGGACCTTAAAGATCATCTTGTCCAACCGTCAACCTAACTGACAAAAATAGACACCCACACAACAAACAAGGAGCACTACCCACCTTCCAGGGGCTCTAAGCCCCACAGGTTTCTTGAAACACATCAGTGCCTTCAGATGAAAAGGGCTACTTCAACGTGAGTCCTCCACAGGGAAAGGGTACAGGGGAAAAAAAAAAAAAAATTCCTCAAACAGTTCATGAAAAGAAGAACTAAATCATACCATGCTCCAAACAGGTAAGTTCAGAAACTGTTTGTCAGAAAGCAAATCAAGTCCCCAGACAATTGCATTCTGATATGGAGAGATGGGTGGAACTTCTCAGGGAGTGTTTGTGTGGTCAAGATATTATGCCCACTAAAAAAAAAGTTGTATAAACACATCTGAATGAACTACATCTTAAGTATATGCACAAAATAACTCAAAAAACTTTGCTCAAGATCTTCCAACCTCAGAAAAGTATCTAAAAATCATCAGAGTCATTATGACCAAGAGTTGACCTATTTTACCTATTTTTTGCCACAATCACATTGTAAACCCCAAACCACTAAAAATATTTTCTTTCACGCCACAAGCCTGTTGCGCCAATCTAAAAAAATTACCAGTTGCCCAGACATTCAAGTGATGGAGCATAGATGACATTTCCATGTAATTTAGTCTAAACTTCAAAGGTGAATATGCTACGAAATTCCAGATCCCGCCAGCTTTAAGAGGACAGGACAAGGGTGGCATTATTTCAATCTGTCTTCTTTACGCACTCCAAGCCCCAACGATATCCCAGAGCCACATTCCTTTCCCATTAGGTCACTGACAAAAGTTAAGCCTTGGGCTTCAGAACCTGACAGAACCTGTCGTGCTGAAATTGGTTACCTGCCCGGAGCTGTGAGTGTTACCCATGGAGTCTGCCAGAGTGTTTGTCCCCCTCTATAGAATCACATTTCCCACTCCCCACCCTCCCCCCAACTTAAAACTGTAACAATATCTGCATGAAAATTTTAAAAATGCAAATTACCAAAATGAAAGCTGGTTAGACTGCATATGAATTTAATTACGTGTCGTATGAGAACCCGCATTTTAAATAACCCTGTTAAAACATATACACATTATAAAGCTGGATGATTCCCAATTAGCCTTGTGAGAAAAACATCTGGAGAAGAAGCCGTTGTGTGGATTATAGGCTCAAAATATTAGAGTGTAGAACAGAGATCATGTAAAAATATCAGAGACCTAAGTGTTGCTCTTCTGTGTACAGGAAGTTAACTGAGCATGTGAAAATACACATTTAACACCTCTTCTCTTTAGTGCTGCAAAGTAACTACCAACGAGACAGGTTGCTTCTTCCTGAGCATGTACCCATCCAGCTGCGAGGTCACATCCGGCAGCTCCCTGGTTTTACCATCTGTAGGCTGTAACATTTAGACACCTCTTGTCAAATACTTGGAGAGAAAAGAAGCCTTTGGTACCATGCTAATAACACAAGTGATAGAGTCAGGCATTGCCCGTTAACGCAGCCGCAGCCGGTCTGAGTTAAAATGCACCCAAGAAGCCCAGCTGCCCCAAAATGGCACGGGACACGAGTCCTATTTCCCACATGGTTAAGAGCTAAAAGCACAGGTAACAGCAATCAGAAGCTGGGTGGCTTTTAGAAGATGGACTCATTTAATTTGCTGACCTATGAGGCATATTGCAAGTACCTTTTTGCTAAGAAAATTCAGTTGCCTCAGCTAGAAGGAAGTCCAGAAATTAAACAGTAACCACCTGATATAGGTACGTAGAGTGTGCTATCACATACAGTTGAGTTAATAACCACAGGTGCTTTAAAGGTCAGATTATATCCTTATTTTGACTCCTAACAGCAACACAAACATTTACCATAAATCATTATTCATAACTGACATACATTTACGTACAGATGTACACCATGGTAAGGAAGTGCAAGATGAAAAAAAACAAAAACATCTTGGCTCAAGATCCCAATCAGAGCAGTTCAAACAAAGTCTTTGTATTTGTCAAGTGCTACAGAAAACAGGATTTTACTGTATCTGGAAGAACTTTTCACTGTTTTTTTTTTTTTCCTAGACTAAGCAGAGAAACACAAACTATGGATCACATTTGTTCCCTTCCTTGAGACCACGGAATACAGATGAAGTTTAACAGTCCTGCTGCACACGGAGAAAACCAGTGACATCAGTGCACCCATTCTGACAGTTTGAAAAGTATGACTGACTGATTCTGTAACCACTCGGCCTCCTGCATACCTTTGCATACAAAATTACATAAAAGTTTTTATCTTTACTTAACATTTAAATAAGTATGAGGTGGAAAAAACACATCTGATTGTAAGCAGTTCCAACAACTAAGATTTTTTTTCCATTTGTCAGAAGAATAACTGGCAGGGGAAAGCTGATTTCCACTTTGTATTATTATCCTTATTTTCATCTGCTTTCACCTTAAGGAAAAAAGCTTTATTCACTTTGACTTTTTCCACATGACATATTTGTCCCAGTCTGCTATTCTCAGAAGTTTAAAATTAGTTCCTGCCTTTCACCAAGACATAATCATTATAACTGACTGAGAAACGCTTGTAGCTCCAGGTTTTTCAGCAAGGATGCAGATGTTGGAGAGCAGGGAGAAGGGGAACTGTTACTACCCCAGTCAAAATTCATCCAGTTTGGCTCAACTGCAACTCAGAAAAAAATAACCTTGCACAAAAGCTTAGAAGTGTCTTACTGCAATGGGGAATTGGATTTTCAGAAATTGTTTCTTGGATTGACTGATTTTTCCCAGGACCAGAGAGCTGTAGAATATTCTCCTTGGAGTTGTTGCTCCTTGGAGCTGGTCTACTGTCCCTGGAGCTCCAAAGCCAACAGATAGAGAGAGGAAAGTTTGTATGAAGTGGAGGATAGAAAGGATTAAAGCCTGGAACAATTCAAAATTTCTCAACCATTGCACAACTTTGAAGTTTAACAGATACATACACTGAAATGACACAGGGGCAACTCACTGAACCAGCCAACCTGACAAAGAAAAAACACTTACAAATAGAACTGCTGAAAGCATTTTTCAATGCGTCTTTTTTAGGAAATGTGGGTTTTGATTTGACCATGTAAACACACCAGTTCTTTCAGTGTTTTCTTAGCTATCTCTGTGTTGGTTTGTTTCACACAATGTAAGTGTACACTCAGTTTCATAAAAGAGTTAAAAAGCTTCCAAAGAATCCCCAAGAAAAAAAAAACAAAAACAAAAACCAACAGCCTTTTTTCCCCCCAGAAAGAACTAATTCAGGAATATTCATGTAGTGCAACAAAACTAATTTCCTGACTTGCTTTCTTCTGACAAAAATAAAAGTTGGTAATGCATCAAAGATTAACTTACAAAAACACTGGGGACAAAATGCGGTTCATCTTCCTTTTTGATCATCTTCTTTTCTCAGAAAATAAGATAGTTATGGAAAAGGTTCCCCGTACTGAGAACGAATGCAGTCACTTACCTTATCCTGGCTATGTGCTGCTGCACAGGCTGATGCTGAAAATGGTCAGGCCACTGCTGGTGAAGGCAGAAGGACGGGGAGGGCTGAAGACAGCAGGCAGGCTGATAGACGGGGGGGTGTTTTTGGCAAATAGAGGCTGAATACTCAGAATGTGGCTGCACGCAGCACGAGGTCATGGGAGATGGTGCTGAGCTGCCAACCACCGAGTGACATTCTTGCTTGCTATTGTGGCTGCTTAAAGAATGATGGTACGGACAGGGGTGGCAGCATTGCGACAACATTTGCTGAGTTCTTTGGTTGTCTAAAGGCAGAAAGGAGGGTTTGATTGTACCATTAAGTTGCAGGCAGCCGTTTGGACTCGCTTTTGCTCTTGGTGGTTCCTTGGATGGGAGCTGTTGGACCGCAACATCTCCGTCCGTAGCCGCAACGATACCTGGGCCAGCAGCGTTGGACAAGATGCTGCCATTGCTGAGAACCACGGGGTCACTGACGCTGCTCATGGCCATGCTCCAAGCTCCTGATGGATACCTGATGGTCCTGAAGAAACAAATAAAGCAAAGGCTATAGAGCTGCGGTGTTTTCAGATGCTCAGAAATAACTTTAGATTAAAATGAGTACAGCTCCTCTCTCATACTCATCTTTCGCAGCCCAGGGAAATGGAAAGGAGTCACACAGATACTGACAGGAATGGTTTGAAGGACTTTCGTTTGTTCAACAAAAAGTTAAGAGTGAAGTTATGTAAATGCCCAGTGATTGAACCGAAACGTAACGCAAGTGAAGAGACATTGCAGAGTCTCTGGCTCACAGCTAACAAGTAACGGTTGAGATGCACAGGAACAAGATCATTTTGCACAGGACTAAGTAATAGCCACTATTTATGAGAACAGGTTTTGGTAAAAACTGTGTAAGCATCCCCACCTTGCACTGCAAGTTGCCTGTGTGCTTTGAAAAGCCAGCAGGAGACACCACCACACAGTGGAGATTCATTAATAATCAATGTGCTGGTTTCAGTAGCCTCCTTTCCTATGCCTAATTTCTACTGAAAATGAGGCATATTTGTATTTTTGAAGGAATTATTTTAAAATGCCTTATTTAAATAAATCAAGCCACTTCAGTAGACATCTGCCCAAATGTCTGCATCGGAGACTAGGTCTTTAGCAGCAGCCCAAAGTGAACTGTTAGGAATACTAAGAAGTTAGAATACAACAACATGTTTTTCCCAAGTTTAGAAAACCAAATAATTCCAGGATTCAATTACTACTGAGCGAGAAGCTCATGCTTCCAAGTGACATGTATTCCAAAGGCAGGTAAGAAAAGGACTGCTGTAAATAAAGGATATTAAAGATTTTCTCCTGAAGTCTTGTCTTTTTCAAGCAAGATGTAAATAAGTGAAAACTATTAACACTGGAAAGGCGACTTAAGAGCTTGGCTCAAAATCAAAACTTGTTTGAGGTGTTCGCTGCAGCCAATTTCCTCTGTGTTAAGTATAATTGTGCTTTAATAAGCTTTGAAAATAAGTTGGAGATTATTATTTTGATAAATAACACAAAAGGTAAAACATCACACTTAAATAAGAATTTGTTTCCCAAGTTCCACAGGGAGGAGGGAGGAGGAGAGAGGAGGAGGAGGAAGAAAGAACACTAATTACATACTAGTTAAAAGAATAAACCAACACGTGCTTAAAGAACAGAATCAGTTAATTACAACTGCTTTGGCTAACTTAATGTTACCTTTTTGATACTGAATTTAACCAACAACATCCCAAGCCTAAATGGCAAGGCTTGCATTACAGACACCGAACTCTGCAGAAAGACACAACATGCAGATTAAGCCAGATAAGCAAGGAAGTTTCTGACTCTTTTTCTTCCCCAATACCTTTGCCGAGCACTCAGAGAGCTAAGCCTGCCCAGCCAGCTGAGCTATTTAATTGCCTGAATGCTAATTCTGAGCAGAAAGTGCTTTGGAGAGTGGAATGCTCTCCCCCTGGCTGCCCCCCCGTGCAGCACCTCCCCTAGACATAGCTAAATCCTTCACTTCTGAAACCAAAATTAATCCTCTGCTATTTGTTCTAGATCATGTGCGGAGCCAGATGCCCTGGGAAATCACTTCCATTTAGAGAGCCCCTCAGAACAGCAGAATACGCTGCATATTTTTTTCCAGCCCCCAATTCCACACATTCCTGGCGGGTGCCCCCTCCCCTGGCCCAGGGAAGCCGAGCCCACGGAGGGGAGTAAATTCAAGTGGCTGGTTAAACCGCGTCTGGGTCTGAAGAGACACACCGGCCTGTGAAACGCCGCCACCTTTGAGCAGCCTGGCTTTGCCTCCCGCTGCAGGGCAGCCTCAAAGCCCCTGGAGTGGATGGAGGGAGAGGTGGACATGGAGGCAGAGAGAGCCGGCGGCGTTTTTAGGAATTTCTCGCCGCTTATTTTCACGTTTGCTCAGAGACAGCCTGTGTGCTGATGATGTTACAGTTCTAAGTTAGTCTGACACATCCATATCATCACTTGAAACTGCTGTACGTTGGTCAAAGTTACTGTCCCATGGACTATTATAACTGAAAATAAGGAATGGAGACACTGCAAAGACCTAGGCCCTTCTAGAAGACAGATGCACCATCCTCTTGCTTTAAGCCCAGAGATACCTGCAGCGTGCAGCAACTGAGATAAGAGGATGTCATTTTCAGTAGCTGTTTCATATCACTTTATAAAGGAAAATCACACATTTATGGGCAAGGCACACATGTGCCAAATGGAGAGGGGAGCTGGGCAGTGCCAACACAGGCACCCAGGCTAGGGACCTCTAGCTCATCCCTGCCCCTCACAAACGCTGACAATGGAATTATAGCTTTTGCTGCATACAGCCCAGCAGCCTCCATTTAATACAATCAAAGGTTAAATGCTTTATTTGGAACAGATGTAATATCTACCTGTATGCCTTTTGGTTTAAACAGTCTTCAGAAAGACTCTTTAGAAACTAGCAGATTCAAAAAAAAGCGCCAAAGATCACCATCAGTAGCACCACAACATATCATTCTGCCTTTGTTCTCCTTTTGAACAAGATAGAAAAAATTTATCAGATGATGCCGATTCTTTCTTTCTTCCTAAGACTTAAGAAACTACTGAGTCCTGTCCATTTTCATGGAGTCTTTGAGAAAGGCAATGGAAACACCTGCTCACCTTGAAGCTCTCTCAGAGCCATATTAGGGTAAGCCAGACCACTCCGCATGCTGAAAGTAACTGTCTGATTCAGTATTTTATTCAATCACAGTTAAGCACTGGGACTCAGACCAATTCTCTAGCATTTTCATTTAGCTTTTCTAAACAAATGTGATATTGTTGATGTCACTCCACAAGTCTAATGTTATCTGAGTTCTGTTTCACTCATGTTTAAGAGTATTAAAAATTATGTAGTATGATATTTTGTTTGTGTCACGCTCTGTACCAGCGACTGAAACTCCATTGACAGCAAAACTTCACCTGTGGCTGTCACACCAAAATATTTCTTAGATTATATTCTTCTCTTTCTGCTGCATTTCGTCTTCTCTGCCACAGCTGCAGTGACTGGGAACTTACTGAGGGAAGCAATAATGGCCCAAGGAAACAGTTAACTGAGAATCTGGGCTTTAGAGGATGCACAAATAAGCCAGTTTAAATGCAACAAGTAAAAGCACAGTAAGATTTTAATAACACATGGATCGAGAAAGCAAAGAACCTGTTCATCGTGAAAAAAATTTAAAACTTGGAATCTTTGAAAACACAATCTTTGAGAACTCTGAGTTCTTTCAATGCTGAAGTTTATTTTTTCCTGTGTTCCTCAGACTGGTTTAGGATTTGGTATTCTTCAACAGAGTGGGGTTTTCAGACTTACACCATTTTACACCTGAAGGCTTTGAAGCAGCAGACAGCTATTCTGCATAATGAGGTTGTAGATAATATAGGTTTTAATATAGGCAGCTCTACTTAACAGAAGATTAAATACAATTAGAAAAAGTGCTAACCTACATGTTTAATCCATCACACTTAGGTTTCCACCTCTCTAGCTGGACACAAGGTATTTTAAACGTTAACATCTATTTAGAAATTATGCCAGCTGGACCGCTAAGGAAAGAAAACCAGAATTTATCTTTAATTACTGCAGGCTTGGTAACAGTAACTGCTAAGAAAGCACTTCAGCCATGCAGTTCAGCACGCCAGCTTGGAAGAGTGTCATATCTGGGAAGTACCACAGCCCGCAGAGGCAAGGTTACTTGGTGACAGTTTTATAGAGTAATCCCTCTATTATTTGTGGAGCTAACAATGAACCCAGCTTACCCCGCAGACATCGGCCATCTGCACCACAAGCCCTTCAGGAAATAAAGTAATGCTGTACCACGCTGAAACTATGTAGGATTTGGTGTTCCCTAACTAGCGTGGTCTTTTTAGGCCTGGATTAAGTTCACCTGTTCCTTTGGCTGCAACTGAAAGAATTTTTCTTTGCTTTAAAGTTTCTTTAAAAAAAAAAAAACACCAACCAAAAAAACAGACTTAAAAAAACATTGGTTCAACAAATCCCATCTGGACTCATAATGCCTGCAATTGAGAATGACAGAAGTGCACATTCAAGAGGGAATGATGTAGTGGAAATTTAGTACAACCTAATATATTAGTACAAATAATTTATAGATCTTTAGAAGATGACAGAGAACAGCTAAGTGTTGAGGGTTGTTTTAACCATATAATGGCCTTGTAGTCCCTTAAGACACTGAAGTTTTTCAATGTGGCAAATGGGTTACCTGGTCTCAATCTGTAAACCCGGTTCAATCCCCTCCCAGACTCTGTCTTCTGTGCCAGTCAGTGCACAGCCACTCTTTAAGGAAGGTTTTTTCCTCCCCAAAATTCTTGGCATCTTTTCTTTTTCTCAGTGCTTGCAGGAGTAACAGGTGGTGCCTGGTGTTTTGATACTGGATTTTATGGGAGACATCTAGTTATCTATCACTGCAATGGTCTTTAGCAAGTCAAACAGCTTTTTAATGTTTTATGGTTGCTGATCTCCATTTTGGCTCTCAGCTAGGCATTTTTCAAATTCTCTAGCTCTTACTCCTATGAGTTCAGATGTGGTGCTTGGTTTCTCTCAATGCCCTGATTCTTGCTTTGCCATTTCAGCTGTTTAACCACTAGTCTTCCTGGAAAAGCTTTCACTATACAAAACATAGGCGCTTACTAGAACAAGCCTTCCCTGTCCTTTCCACTTTTTTTTTCCAAGTATATATTTTGTCTTCAAGAAGATTCTCTACATAAGAAAAAAAGAATTAATTTTATCAGCACACCAGTTTGGGTGATACCCTTATTAATGCAACTGCCTCACTACGAGGATTGCTAATGAGCAGATTTTCAGCAATCTACATGCTTTCCCCAGGCAGCAGTAGTTAGAAGACAATTACAAAGCAGAGGAGACTTTCAGAAGGGAAGTTTCCCCTCTTCCATTTGGTAGCAAGTGTTTGGAGAGCCAGCCAGCCCTTCCATCCCTCTCCGTGGCAAGTGTTTGGAGAGCCAGCCAGC